TCCAACCTTTGAAAGTATTTATGCAGTCGCCTTTTTTCTTTTTTATTTATTTATCTATAGTTTTACTTTGTCATTAACCTAACTTGAGATTCTTATTTTTGTTGCTGTGTATGATCGTTATGTAAATGATTGATATTTACAGCATATGGTGTTATCTGCGTGTTATACTTACGCTTTAAACGTGTAAATTAAGTGACAAATTCTCATTTGTCTGTATAAAAATGAAACAAAGTCAAGGAGTAAGAAAAGCGACAAATAGCAAACAGGAAAATGTGTGAATAAATAGACAAATCGCATAAAAAGCTACAATTAATTTATTCATGTTTGCGAGTATATTGGCGAAATCTTCCAATTCACTAGCGCAAGATGAAACAAAGCGACTTGCAATAAGTCAAAACAGAGAGAGAGAGAGAGAGAGAGAGAGAGAGAGAGAGAGAGAGAGAGAGGAGAGAGAGAGAGAGAGAGAGAGAGAGAGAGAGAGAGAGAGAGAGAGAGTACATGTCCTCGAGACATGTACTTCTGCGGAAGACATCCCTTCGAGTTGCTCTCCTGTGTAAATATCTGTAAATACCTATTACTTCGATCCCTTATCAGCCACTATCCGTGCACTTGCGAACAGGTACCCCTTTGCCAATGAAACAAAAGCTAGCGCAGGTCCCGCTCTGCCAGTTGTAAGCAAAAGTCCTTAATCGATTCTGAACGAGAACCTGACCTTCACTGGCAGTTTAGACTCCACCGGCTATAAGTGTCTGCATGCGAGCGAGCCCCAGGAAGTTATTTAAACCAAGAAAATAATATGTGCTTTCTTTCTTTGGCCGATGTGGCTTTCTTTGTTCTGCTCATGTGTGATGTATCTTATTATGCGAATATATTTCCCCTTCTTTAGAGTCACATGCCCTAACGTGTGTGAAAAAGTAGTAGTAAAATATCTATGAATGAAATGCGATTATACACATGGCACATCAGTCTCTTTCTCGAAGAAAAAACGAATGCACATCCTGGTTGTGTTGCAGCCAAGGAATGCAACGACCTTGGTCTGAGTGAACAGAATTTTGTAAATAAACTTTTTTTTCCACTGACTCCTCCTTTCCAACGTAGGAGAGCTAGTATTATTTCAAGAATGTCTTCATTTCCCCATGACGGTGCGTGGATGTGAAAAATCCTGTTGTTTTCTCGTATGGTTATTTTCGAAGCAAAAGATAATCTATTTGAATTTTTTTTTTTCATATAAATTAATAAATCCTTTTTGCTTTACACTCCGGAAGCAATTTAAAACTGACAAAACAACAAAAAACTACGGAATCCACACACAAGACATTTACTGCCTACGCTCAAACTACTTTGCGAAAAATAAACATTTTCTAGACGTTAGTAATCAGCAAAGAATACATAATACGTAACGAACGGGGGTAACTTATAAGGAATTACACATGTCACAATGTAATGGGCTTGTCAATAACGAAAACATCTAGTGCAGTGCTTCTAATCCATTTTTAGTGTCACGGACCCTCTAAAATGAAAGCTTTGGGCCTTTATTCCCAAGAAAATAACACACACGCAACAAACACAACTTTGCATGGAATGTGTGTAATGTACTTTATTTACTGAAATTTAGTTATCTTATAGATATATATATACAAATATTAACCTTCAAAGTAAACAAGCTAAAGAAAACGAACATTGTTAATTATTTATTTTGATCTTTCCAGAAACCCTCAAACCCATCCTTGGATTAATATCCCCTGATTTCTAGTGACAAGTGAAATGAAATATTGTGTATATACCGCAGACTTTCTACTTCTTTCCACCAGTAAAACGTCGTTCTATTTTTTCTTTTTTTTCATTTACAGAGCTTATGAAAAAAAAAAAACTAAAAAACAATAAAAGATTCTCGGAAACCACCATGTGCGGTTCCAGGACATCGGGTTCCCCTGCGCAGTTCAGGTTATCGGGATTGTCCTGCGTGAAGACGAAGTTTCCGGGCATCTCGCCGGTGTTCTGGGAAGCGTCGAGGGCTTTGTGCCGCCGGTGGACTCAAGGGAAGCGGAAACGCCGGCTTGAGGGAGGGTGAGAGCCGCGGTTTTTCGCGAGTGCTACCATACGTGACAGAGTGCCACGCCGGTATGCGTCGGTACTGCTTCCTCCCACCTTTGGCTGAGCGGGTTAAAGAGAAATTTACATAAATATAGCATTCATGGATTGTTATCGTTGCTGTTATTATTGTCTGTTTTCACTATTACCCCTAATATAATCATTATTAGCTGTTATTGTTAATGTGATCGAATTAATAGTAATTTCCATCAAATTATATTCTAGTAAATTACTCATTGAAAAAGGTACATCATTAATTATTTACCGTAACTCCCTTTTAACAGAAGATCTTCGCAGAGCTACGATCAACGACAATAACCCAGCAATGAACCACAAATAATCACAACGACACAGGAGCGAGACCCAGACACGACCCGGACGAAGAACGAACCGCGACTGGATCCTGAGA